TGACCTATCATAGTGGTTGTATCTGTTGATTATCTGGGTGTTTAAGTACTTGGTCAATCAATAAAGCTCAACACCTGGATAATCAGTCAGTCAATAAAATTCAACATCCAGTGAAAATTTTCAACACCCAATTAACTGGATAATCAGTGAATATCATTTGGTGGATACAACCACTAACCTATCACCATGTCTTTTATCATCATTTAGTATTATTTATTTATTATTTATTAGTATTTTTATATTTAACATTTATATATGTTTTAACATCAATCTATAAACACCAATAAAAATGATCATTGAGATAAAAATCTGTGTCTCATAGTAAATCTCAATATTTATTTATAATAATATGCCAACAATGTTAATACAATTTCTTCCAATTTATTTATAACAACAATTTCTGTGAATGCATATTTATGCTTTACTCTCAAAACTATCTTTCACTATCATTAAACAATTCCTTACACTAAGAAATACTAAATAATATTTTTAGATATCCTGATTGTGCTTTTTGGTGGGTGCCCTTCTAGCTGTTAGCCTCTTTACTACCAAGTCTCAAACTACTAAATAAAATTCATTAAATATTACCTCACTAAAAAAAAAATAAAAATAAAAATAATAGACAAATATAAATTTATTATGCTTGGGATTAGTGTGAATTCACTGTTAGAGATAGATTTATTATTATTACAAAAATATAAATTTGAAGGCTATGACAAGGGACAGGGACAAGGTTGAGGACAGTGTTATTTATTAAGTTATTATTATGATTATTTACAATGATGATTTATGATGATAAAGAGCATACATGAAGTTGAGAAAGTTACAATGTTATTATATATGTTAAAGGTTCTATCATCTAGTTCTCCAATTTTTTGAAATCCTAATTTACCTACCCAAAAGTTTCAGTCACCCTAAATTGATGAATTGCGCAAAAGTGTACATAATAACTGCACAAAAAATTTATATTATTTTGATCCTAGGTATTCATGTACTTAAATATAAAATTTTAGATTTCTAGTCTTTATACAGTTCAAATAATAATAAAAAAACGAATTCCGATCGTTTTTGAAGTGAAAAAAATTAGAATTTTGGAAATATAATTTTATTATTAAAAATGGCTTGTTTGCAATGCATTCTGCAATTCTACATGCTTTCAATTAATTTTAAGTAAATGTTATTTGAAATTTTATTCCATTCTTCAATCATAGTGGCCTCTAATTCATTGAAATTTCTTGCTGATTTAGGTTTTTTTCAAATACAAGTCTCTAATTCACTCCACAAGTGTTCAATCGGATTTAGGTCTGGAGACTGGCTTGGAAAACTTTCTAAGATTTTTATTTCGTTTGTTTTTTTAACTTTTTTAGCAATATGGACTGGTGGATTATCATCTTGGAACAGATAACCTTGATTATTAAAACTATTGTTTATTAATGGCAACAAATAAGATTGGAGTATCTCAATGTAATCATGTTGATTCATTTTTTACAAGTGGACCCAATCCTTTTTCAAGAAAAGCAGCTCTAAAACATTACACTACCACCTCTGTGTTTGACTGTAGGTCTTAGATTCTCAATATCAAACCTTGTTCCAAGTGTCCTCCAAACATGACCTGGGCCATCATTTCTAAACAAGGTGAACCTGCTTTCATCACTCCATATTACATTTTCCATTTTTTTACACTCCAATCTTTTCTTCTTAAGCGCCAACCCATACGCTTTTGTCTGTGTCCCTCATTAATAAGAGGCTTACATGCTGGAACACAAGAAAAAATGCCAATATCATGCAGGCTTCTTCTAAACATGTTGATTGAAATTTGCAGACTAGTTTTCTGATTAAATTCTTTTTTTATTATTTCAGCTGATTCAATGTTGTTTTGTTTGACAATTGCTTTCAATACTTTTTGATGGTCATTATTTAATATTTTTGGTTGACCACTTCGAGTTAAGTCTTTGACACTACCTCTTATTTCATAATTCTTTATAGTTCGAGTAACTGTTGTTCTAGAAAATCCAAGAATTTTGCTAATTTTCACTTTTGAATTGCCGCCTATATGGAGGCCAATAATTTGACCACGCTCAGTTTCAGTTAAATTAGACATTTTACGAAATTTAAGATTTTATCAAATCTTTAAAAAATTATTAAAAAAAAAACTATCCAAAATAATGTAAAAAAAATTTTTCTTGAGAATTAGATGAAATTAGATTATCGCATCTAAAAATCACATAATATGTTAATATGTAGGTTTTTAAAATTCTTCATGTCAAATTTTTTTCTTTACAAAAATGATCGAAATTTGTTTTTTTTATTATTATTTGAGCTGTATAAAGGCTAGAAATCTAAAATTTTATATTTAAGTACATGAATACCTAGGATCAAAATAATATAAATTTTTGGTGCAATTATTATGTACGCTTTTGCGCGATTCATCAATTTAGGGTGACCGAACTTTTGGGTAGGTAGTGACTTTATTTGATTCAGGTAAGTTTTTTCATAAAGGCATTGATTATTTTTTGCTGCTTTGATAACAAATTTGATTCGTAGAGTGAAGGTTTTCGTGACAATAATATGATGATTCCATTTGTTGAATCACAATACGAATGTATATTTTTATCAAAGCAATATTTGTTTAGATTATTATTTTAAAAAAGGGATAAATTTGCGAATTGACAACATGTTGCTAAAAATTTTTATTAAAAGCATTATTAAAAAATCATGCGATTGGGTTCTCTAGAAAAATCAGAAAAATGATGTTTCAAACTACAGTTGGTGCTGATGTAGTGAACCTACTATATAGTAAATCGTACAATATAGGGAAGTTGAAGGTTTTCCCAATTTAGTTTGATTATATATGAATTCCGCTTGCTTTACTAAACAAAGAAAAAAAAGAATGCATTATAATCATGATGAATCGCTAAAGTTTGATGATGAGTTTTTGTTGATGTTAAAGTTGTTCTGTAAAGCTCCTTTTATTCACCACTTGTGACTGTACTGTAGAGTGAAATTTTTTGTCAAAACCAATTCTTCCTTATATACATTGACTTCCGATCAACGTACAATACATAAAAGTACCCTGAATGTAAGAATATTTGTTTTAAAGGCTTTATTGGATATTTAATCATCGTGTTCTTTCTAACCCTTTTAGATACCGATGTTATTGTGATGTTGATTGATAACTGCAGAAATTGTTTCAACAATAACGACCAACTATTTTGCGACTGTACGGATTCATCCACAAAACTTCAATGTACAAGAGGAAAAAGTACAAAGGTAAAAACCGCATTGAGTAATGTCATTTGTATTAGTATGCACAATTTTACAAATAATAGGACTACTTCTGTAAGTTACATTTAAGGGTTTTGTAGATAACTGACGCGTATTCAAAAGGAAACCAAAGCTAAACTATTACCAATGATAAATGACATAAAAGAACAAGAGAATTCCTTGGAACTCTTAGAAGAGTTAAAATCTTCAATCTTCTTTGAGAAAATATTGATACTTTATCAACAAGATCCATAAAAAGGCAACAAAAGGAAGAAAAGATTGAAATTGAAATTGAGAAAGATGACCAATAGCTACCACATGAATTTTTTTTTCTTTGGTCTTTTTTTTAAAATAAAACAATTTATTATTACACCTCTCTAAAGTCACGTCTCGTAAAGTCACACACCTTACCTGAATACATGGTCAACTTCCGCCATTTGTGCAAGAAATTTTCTTCGGATTAGTGGAGGTTTTCAGATTAACAGGGATTTTTTATAAAGTTATTATCAATATTAATATTTAATAACTTCAATTCTGAAATGTGAATGACTCCAACATTTTTTTTATGATACAGAATTCTCCAATAATTTAATAATTTGCAATCACATGCAAGTAAATAAATAAGTCTTGCCATTTGATAAGATTGGATATGATTCGCTGTATTGAATAATTTTTATCAAATTGAAATTGCAAATGATTATTTAATTTGTTATTTATATTAGTCCTCTGGCTTCGGAAAGCAGAAAATGTGCAGTACAGACTATTAACTCGATGAATGGACTAGATGAGATAATTGATATTTATGATATAATATTCACTTTAGTAGTAGTAGCAGCAGTAATTGTATTAATATTTTTGAATAAAAAATAACCAATTAAAAATAATTGACAATAGGAAGGAGAGAATTGGAGGGACATGGTGCAAATATTTTTATACGGATTACTTTTTTTATTTAAATAGAAATTAGAAATTAAAAATTAGAGAATTAAATTAAAAATTAAATTAGAAAATTAAAAAATCAAATAAATTTATAAATCTAATGGATAGCAGACATTCTTGTCAACTAGATTATTAAAATTTTTTGTAGTAGTTTTGGTGGTGGTAGTGGTGATAGTGGTTGTAGAAATAATGATACTTGTTGCAATTGTAGAAACTGTCACAGTTGTAGTATCTCTTATTGGAGAAGTAAAATCTGGAGAATTATGAGGTAAAGTTGTTGTTGGTGCGACTGAAGTAGTTGGATTAGTGGTAGGTGGTGATGATGGCGATGAAGAAGATGTTGCTGTTGAAGTGCGATGAGGGTGATCAAAAAATAATATTTTAATTAAGATTACTTGTGCTATTACAATAATCACTAACAAAATATTAATTAAAGTTGAATCATTTTTAAATCTATTATTATAATTATAATAATTATAGTTGTTATAACTATGGTTATGGTGATTGTTATTATTATTATTATTATTATTATTATTATTATTATTATTATTATTATTATTATTACGATTACGATTATTACGACTACGATTATTATGGCTACGATTATTATGGCTACGATTATTATAATTATAATTATTACTATTGCCATCATCACTACTACTGCTGCTGCTACTGCTAGAAGATTCAACATGATGATGATATTGACGTTGACTAGACGAATAATATTGTTGTGTATGTCTACTACTGCTAGCACCACTACTACCAGTATTATTATTATTATTACTATTATCATTATCAAAATCGTTTAATCTTTGTGGAATCTCGTTTCAACTATCCTTTGGCTGAAACTTTGAATAATAATCCTTTGTTTTTGCTTCATAAATATCTTGTACACATTCTGGTAATTCGTCAACAAATACACCTATGATGTTAACAATGATTTTATTTGTAAAATTATTAATTAATTAATAAGATGAAGGAAGAAGAAAAGGAACACTACCAGGCGATCCTTCATAGATCGAGAACGAAGGAACCACAGTATTTGGAGATATAACAGTGTTATCTTCGATCCTGCAACAATCTTTAATTATTGCAAATCTTCCCTATTTTAATAAATATAAAAATACATGTTAATTATCATAAAATATAAATAAAAACCTTTTTCCACAAAATAATAATGACAACTTACAATAACACAATTTTTACCAATATGTACAAATGAACCAATGATAGCTGCTTCCACTACACTGCCTTCACCAATTGTAACATGGTCACCTATCTTCACCGGATAATAACTGAAAACTCTACAAACACGTATATAAAGCATGTATAAGTATTATGTTTTTCCAGAAATATGAATGTATGGGCGTAAGATAGTTACCCTTTATATGTTTTATATGGCGGTCTGATAATGCTACCTCTTGTCAAAAGGCAATATCTACCAATAGCAACCACCACTGCATGTCCGGTTCCTGTACGTCTCAGGTCACCACGAATAACACAATCAGTTTGAATTATAGTCTAATTTATATTCAAAAAAAAAGCCAAAAGTAGTGAGTATAGTAATTGAAATTATTTTTAAGTATTAATAATTCATTCATTCGTTCATTCGTTCATTCGTTCAATTAATCAGTTGTATGGATACCTTGCCACCAAGTATTATATTTTGACTACCGCAAATAACCGACTTTCTACTCACTTTATTACCTGTGTCCTTTTAATTAATAATTAATTAGTTAAAGAAAGAAAAAAAGATGTAAAGAATTTAATCATCAATTAAAACCATTTGTAGAGAAATTATCAACTTACTGTTTCAATATATTCTGGACGAGGATAATATACAATTGGTAATTCCATTTCTTTTATATGTAAAAAATTTTTACTATTACTTAATTATGTGCGACTTGATTGTGAAAACTCTTACCGCACCGCCCCAATACACCAAAAACCCCGTTCTGCTTTGATTGGGTAGAATATGATTTTCTTACATTTATACTAAAAGAGAGTTAAAGGGATTTTAAGCGTACCCCAGGAGCATGGTTGAAATCCTTTTATGGATAGATCAGCTAAATAAACAATGCCGAATATGAATAGATAGAATGCGGCAACAGAAGTCATTAAACGCTTGTTTATGTTTAAACAAGGAGAGGGTAAATTGATAGCAGTTCGTCGATTGATACAAGAAGGCTTAAAACCACCTGCATTGGTGTTTGTTCAATCAATTGGACGTGATAAAGAACTATTTCATATGACGATGTTATTCTGAAAGAACAAAAAAAGAAAATTCCATTATATGCATGCACTTGATGGTTATTTTTTTTATTCAAATAATTATTAAAATCGTATTTTTATAAAAAAAAAAAAAAAAAGAGAGATTCAATTATTTTAAACTTTCGAAAAGGAAAAATATGGGTTTTGAATTATAGCACGTGGTATGGATTTCAATGGAGTAAAGTTATAAATTATGATTTTCCACAATCAATTCAAAACTATACACATACATATAAATACAAAAATACCTACTTGTCGTCTGCTTGCTTGCTGATACAACATTATCAACAGTTTCTAGTTTCCATTCAGCTTCACGAACAATCAATTGTCTGTTTTCAGCAAATCTAACTATTGGCAATACTTCCAAACTCCACAATCTCATCTTCACCATCATAATAACTTTTTTTAGTAGCATTTGAATAAATACCAACAATAATACCTCTACTGCTACATCCACAGAATTGGCAGAATCGGTAGAACAGACAGATTAGACGAAGCCATCACGTATATTATACGAAAGATGATGTTTCATATTTAAAAAGGTGAAATATCAATTTTATTTGTTAAATATTACACATTGATTTCTCTATTTATTATTAAAATGTTGACTTTAGAATATTATAATTTAATAGTAATTATAATAATAGTATTATAAATATGAGCTCAATGTCACAACCATTACAACTTGCATAGAAGAATATTGTGAAATAAATGAACCAGAAAACCACTACCATTGCAACCAGAAGATCAAGATTTCAATAACATTTCTAGAAATCATAATAATTATTGAAAATAACATTGATTAAACAAATTTATTATGGATTTTTTTATTGGAATGATTTTATTGATGATGAATTGGAAAACCATCGATTTGCAATACAAAAAAAATTACCAAGACTACTCAGAATCAATCCACTGCTAAAAAGATTTACAAAAAGAGAATCGTTTCATTAATAATGATGTTGATGATATTGATATCATGTATTGATATCATGAGTACAAGTCCTCCCAAAAAAGAAGATCAGGCAACAGTTCTTAAAATTAATGATGAGGAGGACAATTGTGAAATTTATCATAATAATTATTAAATCAATGTACAAATAAGATCTACAATGTCAATAAAAATATAAAAAATAGCAATAAATAATAAAGAAATGGAAAGCGTATTTTTACATGGGTATTAGACGAATGATGATGATGCAATTGATAATTTTAATGATAATAATAAACATATTGATAATCTGGGAAGAAGATAATACATTTTCAAAAGACATTCATTACATAATAATAATATATGTACAAATTATAGGTCATGTTACTCTAAGATAAACATGCCCTTTTTTGGTCTTATTACTTTTATTTGAATTCATTCTAAGCTTATATTATCCAAGTTAACAATGTTGGTTATCACTACTGTTTAGACTTGGACATTTATTTTAGACATACATATTAATATCCTTCAAAAAAAAAAAATAATAAATTCAAATATTTTAACAACTAATATGCAAGAACAAGTAAATCAACATTATCAGAATTATCAAAATCAAATTATATGATGGTTGAGACATTTGATTACAAAAACACGTATTCATTATAATTTGATTTCCAATTAAAAATATATTATTATTATTATAAATATTACGGGCTCAAAAACTTTAAAAGTTGAAGATGACGATTCCTTGTTTAAACCTTTTTTTTACTTTTATCGACACATACACGTTCATATATTATAGAAAAAAAACGAATTGGTTAAACATTTTCTATTATTGTTTGCCTCGGACGTTTTCTAAAAATCAAATATATATCAATCAATAAAATAGTAATATCAGCTCTCAATACTAAACGAGATCAAATTGCAAGCAAAAATTTGTTTTTTGGTTGTAAGTTAAATAAAATATTTAAATTCACTATTATAAAAATGTGATTTTTTGCATAAAAGCTACTTTATAAATTGCCATTATTTTTCAATGCCGCGAATGATCTTTTATAAGACAGCTTTCGTTATTTGGTAGCACAACATAATGTTATATTAACATTGGTGTCTCTAAAATGATCGATGATCCAAGACAACCACTTACTTGATCTTCAAACCATTGTCTAAGAAACTCATTTTATATGGAATTCTTGCCAATTATACAACTAGTATTTTAATCCCGTGTTGGCATTTGGCCATTTGGCCAGCCAAAAAAAAGGCCAAAGCAGTCAAGACTTTTTCGATAATTTGATATATACAAGACTGTCACATGATTATATATATATTAATATATTAATATTAATATATTTGTTGGCCAAAAACGGCCACTGTTTTAACCATCTAGAGTTTTAGAAGTCGCTACTTATATATTTGACATGGTTAGTATATTCATTACCAGTACTGGCAATCAGCACGGACTTAAATATTTCCTTTTGATTGGTAATTAGGAAAAAAATTTTTTTAATTAGATTTTTTTTTTTTTTTTGCGAAAAATATAGGTGGCTGATTTTTTCCAAATAGGACGAATTTGATTATCATCAAATTTTTTATTATTTTCTGTTAATAAATAAATAATCATGGGAGACACACTTTCACTTCGTGGTACACTTGAGGGTAAGGTTATTTATGAACGTTATGATAATTTATTGAAAGAATAATAATTAATTAATTGACTACTTTTATTAATTATGATTAATTTATTTAGGACATTCGGATTGGGTAACAGCTATTGGTAATTTTAATAATATTATTAATTGATTAATTAATATATTTATATATATATATATATATATATAAACAATTTGATTAGCTACAACGTCGGAAAACCCTGAAATGATTTTGTCTTCTTCTCGTGGTATGCATTTAACATGGGGGTTTTTTTTTCTTGAAAGACAAAATTCATCATTAATCAATCAATCAATCATTTCTTTAATGAAAATAGATAAATCCATTATGGTTTGGCGATTGACACGAGATGAACACAATTATGGAGTTCCTCGTAAATCCTTAACAGGTCATAATCATTTTGTACAAGATGTTGTAATTTCGTCGGATGGACAATTTGCCTTGTCGGCCTCTTGGGATAAGACACTTCGATTATGGGATTTGAACACCGGAACAACTACTCGTCGATTTGTTGGACATGAGAAAGATGTCTTGACAGTTTCTTTTTCACCAGATAATAGACAAATCGTTTCAGGGTCAAGAGATAAAACCATTAAATTATGGAATACACTTGGTGAATGCAAATTAAATATTCAGGATGAAGGTCATACTAACTGGGTATCTTGTGTTCGGTTCTCACCAAATCCCTCCAATCCAGTCATTGTATCGTCTGGTTGGGATAGACTCGTAAAGGTGATTATTACTATTATTACTATTATTATGTATATTTTTGTGTGTGTGTGAGTTTTGACAGTGATGTTCAATTTAATGCTTATAATATTTGCTACTTTAGAGAAATTAAATATATTTCAAAGAAAAAATTTAACCAGATCTGAGTCAAACACATATTTGTTTACAAATATATATTTATTATTTTGAAGAATTAACAAAAACTCATATAAATACAAATACAAATATAAATATACATACATTAATATTTACATATAGGTATGGGAATTTAGTGGCGGTAAATGCAGGCTTAAAACTAATCATCATGGACACTCTGGATATATTAACACTGTTACCATTTCACCAGATGGGTCGCTTTGTGCATCTGGCGGAAAAGATGGTATCACAATGTTATGGGATTTGAATGAAGGGAAACATTTGTATTCATTAGAAGCAAATGATATCATCATAAATGCTCTAGTGTTCAGTCCAAATAGATATTGGTTATGTGCTGCTACCACGTCTAGTATTAAGATTTGGGACCTTGAAACTAAAAAGGTTATTGATGATTTAAAGCCTGATTTTACGGAAACTGGTAGAAACTCGAAAGATCCCGAGTGTATCTCTTTGGCTTGGTCACCTGATGGCACTACACTATTCGCTGGATATACAGGTATAATTAATTGCTTGGTCTTGTATTATTATTATTATTTTTATTATTATTTATCAATAATATATGTTCTTTTTGGTAATTAAAGACAGCAAGATCAGAGTTTGGGAAGTCTTATAATATCTGTCTATACACATGCCACCTATACGAAAGATGGCTCTTTATTATTTTTTTCTTTAAAAAATTTACATTATTATTATTTTTTTAAACAATAAATTAATCTCCGCTTTCGTAATATGTCTTTATATATAATGTTCTAAATTAACGCACACATTACATATTCATGAGAACATAAAATTTCATTATTAAACTACCTTTCAATTTCTCAAGCACAAAATTTCCAGCCTCTCTGAATTTGCAAATAAATAGATGGCAGTAGAATCATATCAGTATTAAATCAAAAATTTAAATAATATGGTGCGCGAGGTCTATAACCACCATTCTTGCACGTGATTTTTAAAAGAATAGAAGTCCGTTCCTGTTGAAATATTGATTGGTTGCCGAGTTCTATTCTTTTTTACGTACTACTAAATTTGGTTTCATGTATCGTGTCAAAAAATAAAAAAATAAATTCTCAATTAAAAATAGCTAGACTTGCAAAAAAAACAAGGATAATTTCATTGTAAATACTCTTCCACACAAAAAATCTCTTGGTTTTGCACCAAAAACTGATGATAAAAGACTATTTTGTGATATACAACTATATGCAAATGTAGTTATAAAAACACAATTAAACTTTTAAAAATGGAAAATGTTTTGAATGAAAAAAATGAAATAAAACTATTAACTGAAAGATGGACTACTGGCAAATGAAACATTAGATGAGTTGATTAAAAGTACACAACTCGAAGTAAAAGAATATAATCATCAATTTTATTTTCAATGGATTCCTTATAATGATTTAACAGATATTGAAAAGATAGATGAAGGTGGTTTTGCAACTATATACAAAGCTACTTGGTTAAATGGTTATAAAGATATAAAACGTATTGATAAGAGGAGATGTAGTCATAATATGCATGTGATATTAAGAAAATTACATAATTCACAGAATATTTCTGATGAATTTCTTAATGAGGTAAATTAAATTATTTTTCAGATTTTAAGTATTATTCTAAATTTTAATATATATTTTTTAGTTCAAAAATTATGTGGTGTTTTATAAATTGGAATTTATGGATTAACACAAGATCCGATTACAAAAGAATATACCCTTGTAATGCATCACATGGAAGATGAAAATAATAAATACTCAGAGAAGAGAAAATGGAAGCATGGGGAATGTCCAATCTGCAATAGATATAATACCAGTAGGACATGGTGTCAATCATGTGAACTAAAACTATTAGCTGAAGGATGGACTAGTGGCAATGAGACATTAGATGAATTCCTTATAATAATAATGATTTAATAAATATTGAAAAGATAGGTGAATGTGGTTTTGCAACTATATACAAAGCTACTTGGTTAAATGGTAATATATATACTGATGGAAATATAAGAATTAGTAAAAATATGTCTGTAGCATTAAAAAAACCGCATAATTCACAAAATATTTTTGATGAATTTCTTAATGAGGTGAACTATTTTATTAATATTAGTTTCAGATTTTTTAATTATTATTGTTGTAATTAAATATTTTATTTGTTGTTTTAGCTCAAAAATCATATGAAGCTTTGTGGCAGAGGATTTATAGCTGGTATTTTGGATTAACACAAAATCCAATTACAAAAGAATATATATTTGTAATGTTATATATGGCAGATGGAAATCTTCAAAATTATTTAACTTGAGATTTTAAAATTTAAAATGGGAGGGTAAAATTAGGATTCTTAAATTCATTAGTGATGGATTAAAAAATATTCATCATAAAGGATTTGTTCATCATGATCTTCATAGTGGTAATATTCTTAGTTCTTATAATGTAAATAATATATGGATTGCAGACTTGGGATTATCATGCCCAGCTAGTCGAACATCTGCATCAGACAAAAATATATTTGGGGTACTACCATATGTTGCACCAGAAGTTTTAAGGAGGAAATCATATACAACAGCATCAGATATATATAGTTTTGGAGTTCTGATGTCTGTAGTGTCAACTGGCCAACAACCGTTTAATAACTTGGCACATGGTATAGACCTTGCAATGAAAATATGTGAAAGTGTAAGACCTGGATTTTTAAACAATACGTAAAAATCCTATAATGAACTAGCATTCAGATGCATGGATGCTAATCCAGATAAACGTCCAACCGCTAAAGAACTTTTTAAGATTATGAGCGTGCACTTTCTTATGGTTGGTGGGTTTTTCCAAAATTAATTAGAAAGTTTTGTAAAACGGATAAAATAAAATATGATCCTTCAAACAATTCATCCAAATGCTGTTTATACTAGCAGATTATTAAAATCTCCAACCTGTGAATTCCAAAAAAGTGACAATTATCAGTAATCATGGTAATTATTAACATTTAATTATTGAATATTTTCATTTTTATTAATTTTTAAAATTAACAATATTTATTAACAATCCACTCTTGTGATAAATATTTTTTAGATTCTCAACAGATTGAATTAATTACACCGGACGAATAAGTTAAATCTTAAAAATTATTTACTATTTTCTTATTTGGCTACTATAGTTGTGATATTAAATACCTTGAGAAATGAAATTAGTTGTTTATATTTATATTTAATAGCGATTAAAGATGGCTCCTCAATTAATTGCGAACTAATTGCAGTTCCCATCTTTAATAGTAACAATAATTGTGTTGTATGATTTTTGGCTACTATATATTAAAAAAATATAAAATTCTGTTAAAATAATGATTTATGAGACAAAATTTATCTGTAAAAAGGTTTCACGAAAATAGTTGTGTTGTATAATATGGTCTATTGATCATGATGCGATCATGCCAAGAAGGGAAAAGAGAAGTCAACATGGCATGTTGATGTTGAGTTGAAAGATGTTGAAAACATTAATATTTTATTAAAACTCGATTTTTGGGGAAGGGATTTTCTATTTTCGAGAGATGTTAAATTGCAAACGTTCCATTTTTTGTGAGTAAAAATTGATTTCGATGAATGGATTCATTTTTTTTTCATTCCAAAATCATCCATAAAACTTTTTTGCTCCCAGTGACACCTGATAGCCTCCCATTTTTTTAAATCGTCAATTACACGTCTACCTGCACTACGAAATAGGCTAACAAATGGCCAGTGGAAGGACCCTGGGATAACGAATTAGGGCAAGCGGAAGCATTTCTTTGAACGTGACGAATTTCGAAACCGTGGAACGGTTCATACGCACTGTTTTACCTACACAAAAAAAAGGATTTACGCGATCCACGCAGACGTTCCTGATCCTGTCATGGAAAAAAAGTTGTACGATTTGGTCGTGAAGTATTAAATTACACAATTGTAACCATCAAATTGATGGATAACCATGCTCCAAAGGGTTCCCTTGGTCATTATCTGAAAAAATCTATTGCTCGCTCAACCTGTTAAGATTCGTCTATCATCGCGTAAAGCAAGAAGACAGGATGGTCGTCCCATATCATCCCAAGACGCTGCTGATATGGAATGACCACATAAATTTTCAGTATGTGATGTTCACGAAATACATTACGAAAGTCAAGCAAACCCAATTGTTCAACATCAATGAATACAGAAAACATATCATAGCGAGGAGATTGAGTGCAATGGAATTGACGATACTTTTGCTCCAGCACCCAATAACCAGATGTTCCGTCTCAGTAGACTACTTTCCTCCGAGTACCGTCTAAAATCTGTGAAGCCGATGCACTTGCTAAACAAGGAAATGGACATTTAAAGTGACATGAGAAGCGATGAAGACGTAGATCACTCCTTGCTGAGGTGAGCGATAGATAAATACTTTGACGGACCAAAACACGAGCTTTTCAAAAACCTCACCTACCCCGACTATTCCCAAAACCACATAATCAGGCCCAAAAACCCAGGCCCGGGCCAATTATTTGAGTTTTTTATTGTGAAAAATCTTTATGTGATCTTTTAAGATCCAATGAAGTTTCTTCCAAGACATGTAGACCCAGTTTCCACCAAATCAAATAGCCCGAAATATTACACATTTAATGATATTATGTAAAAAAGCAAATAAATAAAAAATTTTACTGTGGATGTTTTTGATCAAGTCATCCAATTTTAGTCATATTGAGTGATCTAAAGTATAATAAAAATGAAATCTTATATTGTAGTTCATTGCCGATGGATGTTATTGATCAAAAGAAGTTGCTTCTAATCAAAATCAGCAAATATTTGGTCTAGATAAATGAACTTGTACTTCCCTGCATCCATGCAATATCCTACAATAAAAAGTAAAAATAATGTATTAATATTTCAATTTAACAATGAGGAGGCGTGAAAAAATCACTTGGATAATAATAAGTTTTCCTTTTATATTTTTTTTTCCGATTTTTCGCTCGATTAAATGTAATTACCCATACCGATGTCTGTCTCTTCGAGGATCATTCCAACTTCTCTCATCCACATTCTCATCTTCTTTGGATATTATCGCATTTCCACAAACCTTAGAACTCGCACAATTTTCTATGTGTGAGATAAGAGTCTCTTATGTTCCCATAACCGCGACCCTCTTAAAATAAATACGAAATGATCTTGGGTAGTACAGGATGCTCCAGAATATGATAGATTTAAAATTTATATATCAAAATCAAAATAATCGTTTTTGTCGATTCTTAATATTCCTATTTCAGAATCCAACGATAAATCACTGTTACCCAAGCAGAATAAAATATTATGTGAACTTGGATGTAAAAAAATAAAACAATCTCCACCGCCTTAATTTTTGCATGTAAAGACCATTACGAAATTCACAATATAAGACAATACCTATAATGTCATATCACCTTTAAAAACTTTACAATATAGCTTGTAATAATTGATTTTTGCTATATTCATAGATAGTCGCACCACATACTGTATGTGAGTGAACCTTTCTTCATCCATGATTTTCATATGACTTGACCCAAATTTACCACTTAAAGACTTATCGTCTCCATTGTTTTTGGTGGCGAAACATCTTTCTTACATTTTGTTGTTTTAGTTAATGCGAAAATCATACTATCACTATCGATATGGAAAATTAAAAATAATAAAAAAAATTTTTTTTGCTTTTATTTGTTCCTTGCATACATATACACCTGTTTTAGTTAGTAACGAAATTTACAAACAAAAAAAAATTTTTTCAGTGTCTATCAATTAATATTGTTAATAACTGTCAACTTAATATTTGTTTTTATTAATAATATTAATAAATTAATTAATTACCGTTGTTTGCACGTTTTATTATTATTGAGTTTTTATTCTATTTACAAAGAAAAAAAATTTTCCCTTCCCATATAATCTAATTCAAAAAATTATTTATTTATAAATTTCTCTTTTTTTTCTTTTTTTTACAAAATTTTTACCACCGCACGGAAAATAATAATATACTATTTCAAAAAAAAAATATTTTCTTTTTCTAAAAAAAAAATAGCACAATTTATTTATTATCGTCCGTCATCTATTATTATTTATTATTTATTTATTTTATTTATTTCACTATAATTTTTTCCTTCCTATCTAAAAAAAAAAAAAAAAATTAAAATGACAATCGAAGAAAACAAATCAATTGTCGTCCCCACCAAATTCACATGGAAAAATTGGGGCAAGGATATCACAATAGCTGGTACTTTTGATGCCCCCACATATCCGGTATGGAAACCAATCGCAATGCCAAATGGCGAAGTTGAAATAAATTTGATCCCAAAGAAAAGATATTATTATAAATTTGTTATCGATCATAATTGGGTATTGGATCCTAACTTAGCCAGTTATTCTGATGAGCATGGAAATTGGAATCATGAAATTGTTGTTGAACAGCCTATTCCTCCTTCTCCACCACAATTACCAGAAATTTTTAAAGAAGATTCAACAATTATTCAACCTCCCGCGCCTCTTCTTACTCCACCAGAATATGATTTTGATTTTGAAAATAATAAATATGTAGGCGAGAAAGAAGAACGACATGTAATTAATTATATTGAACAACATAACGATGATTTTGAAAATGATAAATATATAGGCGAGAAAGAAGAACGACATGTAATTAATTATATTGAACAACATAACGATGATTTTGAAAATAATAAATATGTAGGCGAGAAAGAGGAACGACATGTAATTAATTATATTGAACAACATAACGATGATTTTGAAAATAATAAATATGTAGGCGAGAAAGAGGAACGACATGTAATTAATTATATTGAACAACATAACGATGATTTTGAAAATGATAAATATGTAGGCGAGAAAGAGGAACGACAAGTAATTGATTATATTGAACAACATAATGATGATCTTGAAAAGGACACATATGTAGGAGAGGAAGAAGAGCACAGATTAATTGAACAACGTAATTATGATCTTGAAAATGACACATATGTAGGAGAGGAAGAAGAGCAAAGATTAATTGAACAACGTAATGATGATCGTGAAAATGACACATATGTAGGAGAGGAAGAAGAGCAAAGATTGATTGAGCAACATAATGATGATCTTGAAAATGACACATATGTAGGAGAGGAAGAAGAGCAAAGATTAATTAGTAATTATATTAAAGACTTTAAAAGTGATAAATATGTAGGGGAAAAAGAAGAACGAAAAGTAATTGAACAACATAGTGATAATGAAGATATCGTACTATTGATATTAAAATGGTACAGAAAAGTTAAATGTTGGTTTGGTTTGTTTTTTAAGAAACTAAACACGCTAAAAACACGTTTTACGAGTTATCTTTTGTCAATTTTTGGTTAATCGACAATTGAATTGTGATTATCTATCGTTTGTTATTATATACAAATTATCTTTGGACAATTTTGATTAGTATTAAATATTTAATCTACAATTGAATTGATTATTGTCTATACTAAAAATGCTAAAAAAACATTATATTTATCCTGTTTTTTCGCGGCGGCGAAGCATCTTTATGTTTTTTAAAAAGACTTGGTCAACAACAATAGGGAAATCAATCGCAAATTATCATGTTCCTTTTTTACACTTTCAAAAAAGCCTTGGTCGGTTTCTTTTGACAACGACCAATTCCCATTTTTATTATTATTCATGTAATAACTCTTTAACATTAAAATAAATAATATCATATTAATATAATAATAAAAAATATAAGTGTGATGCTAATATTCTTTTGTTGTTGAATCACGATAAATTGATCGCTAGAATTTGGTGATGGTGAAGTTGTTTCTTTAAATAATGCTTCAATTTACATACTTATAGAAAAACTTAAAGGTAGAAAATGTTGTACGAAAAAATTGTTTGTTACATGTCATCCAGCTCTCTGCAAAAAAAACAGGTTTTTAAACGAAAACGTAACTTGTGAAATACAGATTAATATTATAGTGCGATGATGTTCTTTCACATGACTCAGTCACTTACATATATATTCGTTCGGAGCATCAAACTTAACACTGGATGCGAGGCATTTTAGTGTATTCATGATCAATGATGCAATCTTTAATAAAAATAGACTATTTCATAGCCAGATGGTGCATTGATCGAGTAGTCTAATAATTTACAACAAAAACATATAAATAGACCCGCTATCCCCACTCGTGGTCCAAAAAAACGATATATCAGTTTTCTTTTTACGTTGCATTTGAATTCGAAGGTCGAGGTATGTAATGCCGAAATGGCGTTCTATGTATGATTTGGCTTTACACATTACATTCAAATGCAGGGTATCTATATATTCATTCGGATCATCAACATTAGCCAGTCATATTATTATTATATCAATATTGCGTTGAGCAAAAATTTGAAATTGTCCACGAATTTAATAAATTTAATAAAAGATCCTTTCCAAAGAAGAACCCTCATGTGAATCATTTACAAATTTCGATTGTTAAAAAAATCAGCCAAGCTTTTTTCCTATTTAAAAAAAAAGATCTTTTTGTCCTAACCTTTTCCTCGTGTTTATTTATTTATCCCAGATTAAAGGTCAATTGGATTTTTTGGATCACTACCCACTTTTCTCAATACCAGTTCAATTATAATTGTCCGAATTTGAGCGCTACGATTGTTACTAAATTTAGACTAATACTCGGTCATCATATCTAAATTTGGCAGTAAGGAAAATAATTTTTTAACCAAAATCACGTGAAACCCTTTTTTAAAATTTGAGCGTGTGGCGCAGCAATGGGAGGTCTTTAGACCGAGCCAACCATAACGTTTTTTTAAATTGTTATAATTATACCCTGGGTATATCTGTTATTGTTGTTTAAAAAACCTTCTTGTTTTTTTAAATACATTATAAAAAAATCAAGATATATGATCTTTGTACTATTGTAATTGGAAAAGTTGAATATAAGTTATAAGTTAATCAAGTATTACTATGGTTGGCTCGGTCTAAAGACCTCTTATCGCTGCGCCACACACTCAAATTTCGATTTGTCTTCGCGTGATTTTGGTTAAAAAGATTATTTTCCTTACTGCCAAATTTAAATATGATGGTAATGATGTCGAAAATTAGTCTATTTATATGTTTCGAATTTAGTTGAAAAATTTTTGAGTACAGCATGCGTGACATCTAACACGTAAAAAAGCGTTGCGTTCTTTGTTGTGGAAAAAAAATCTACTTTTTGTCCGATACGATTATTGCATATTTTATGTGATCATTCAAAAACTCGCCAACCTCCTTTTTTAAACAAGGAAGTTCCCTGCAAACCGGTTTATAAAATGTAATTTGCACAATCTGCAAATGTTATTTTTTGTTTGCTGGCCGCAAATGGCAAATTGCAAAGGCTTGTCAACGAACTTTTGTAAACTAAATTTTTGGGAAAGATATGAAGCAATATGTTTACAAATGTTTAAATTGAATTTTCTTTTTCTTAATTATAAAATAAAAAAAATGATATAAATAATAATAATTTTTTTTATAGATACACTAAAAAAATTGCTGCAATCACTGAAATTTTGCGTCGCACCATCAATTTTTCCATTACACACCACGTTAAAACTAAAGGAATGGATTATGTTTAAATTTAAAATAGAATAACTTGCCTTTTTACTATGTACTTAAAAAAAATTTCTTGTTTAAAATCATCACAATTCATCTCGGAAATCTATGTTTCCCATTCACGCTAATGTAATAATCATAAGAACAATATCCTTGAATTTATCAGATATCAAGGAAAACTCTTTTTTTTAGATAAATAAAAATAATTCTCTGATTTAAATATTTTTTACTATGCTAAATAAGGAGGAAAAAAATTGTTAGTGTATTTATTAATTGATTTTTTATAAAACTAGCCCAAGATTTTAAAAAAATCTTCTTGTTTCCCATTTTCAGAGAATTGTCTTGTGACAATTGAAAGAATTCAGATTTCGAAAATATTTTGTATAATAAACAGTTTTTGATCAAAAGTGAAAAGGTTTTGATAATAAGAAAAATAAGAAAATAAAGTTAGCCGATTTTTATTATTATTTTAATAAAAAATAAAGATTTATTTTTTGGTCGCAAAAAATAAATAAATAAGTTTGCCATCTTAACCTTTTTTCTTTTACTATTTACTAATTAATTCGATTGTTTGTGCGATAAAGATGAAAGAGATTCCTATAAATGAACATTTTATCATGAATGCTGTCGGAGTTTCAAAATCTTTGACCGGAGAGGAATTGGCTGTGCACATTGTTGCCATTTATCCAAACGGCTCTAACGTAACAACTACCTTACAAAGTTTTCACGTGGCGGAAAAATTATTCTCGTCGACGACATCAATCTTGACCGTTTGACCATGAAAATTTTAAAAGTGCGTATAATTTTTTTTTATCAGCATTGATGTGTTTCTTTTTCTAATGACACCTCTCTTCCAGATATCTGCAACATATTTGAGGGTCCCGGAACTCGGAGATGAGGAACTGGAGCCCTCAGAAATTGTTGTGACCATGATTACAACTGCGGTGGATTCCGATATCCAACATCACCATCAAAATAAACGGTTACGAATATTTTATTCATCGGAAATCCCCATGGAATTCGAAATTTTCCATCCCAACACTTGCTCAAAATTAACTTCCTTTCAAGAGAGGCGTTTACGATTGATTGATCGATGGTCAGGGAATATGTTCGGCTGGAAGAAATCGCCGCGAATTCTGTACATAAATATTAATATCATAATCAATAATAACGAATTCTTAACGGGTTCAAATTAAATATTCTTAATATTAATTGGTACATAATAATAATAAAATCATCTATAAAAAAATAGAAAGTAGAATTACTTACATTAATATGTCTAAATAGATCATGAGGACCTCAAACTTTTGCTTCAACAACTTTTACCGAAATATTGAAATATAAAGAAAAACAAGTTATAAATTAGGCACTCTAGGTGAAAAGGTTGATTTAAATTTAACACTTACTGGTTTTCATACAACGCATCCACTAGATGTATTAATTTGTGGCCATAGTAATCATTATAATGCTACGAAGATTTGGAAAAAGTTGTATACATTGTATGGAATTTTACAAAAAAGGAGCCTTTAAAATGTTATCACGATTGAAAACCCGGAAGATAATGAAGATGTAAATTTATTGTTTTTCAAATTTAAAAAATAAAAGAATACAATATATATACGCTAATAATGAATTAATGAATAATAGAATAATAGAATAATAGCTTTTAGTACTACCCGGATTTCCATGGTGGTTCGATGTGAGTATCCCAGTGGATTTTATGGAAATTCTTTATTTGGTGGATTTGTAAGATAATAACCTATACAGGATGTTCTGTCAATTCCGATATTCTTTGAAAAAAGTTTTCCGATTATGATGTTTCCAACAAACCCACTTAGAGTCGATAGAAATAATTTAAATCCAAAATGAAGTGTACTTTCAACAATAATAGCAAATGATAATGCTAGAAAAAAAGTTATTGAAGCTAAAAACATCATTCGAAAGGGAATGGTTTCCATTTTGCTGGTAGTTCCTTGTGAAATTAATATCATTCTCGCGAAAAGAGACAAAAGTGAAATTAAGAAGAGTTCTACCGATATGTACATAACAACCATATATTTATCAATATATTCAAAGTCAGCGCCTTTGAAAAAGCTCAAGATAACCATACAAAACAAAACAGCCCCTGGGACAATTATGTAGCTTAGACAAAAGTTGCTGATACGAAGTATCTTATTATTCCATTTAATATTTGCAATCGAGAGGGCGAGTGATATGAGAGATATTATGTCCATTGCCGGCACAAAATATAAAATAGCCATTTTATGAGCATCGTTAAAATTTTTAAAATGCGGGTTGGAGAAATTTTGTATTTTTACAAATATAAGAACTATGGATGTGTAAAAAATATAGATTGTATCTAATGCTTTATCCAGTTTTTCTGGAAATAAAGGAGATAAACATGCTCCGATAAACAGTAAAGCAAAAGAAAAAAAATCTTCAAGATTTGCATCATCCATTTTTTTGCGAGATAAAATTGACAGACAGTCTATTTATAACATAATATATATAGTATATGTAAATAAAACCACCCCAATTTGGCAAACAAAAACTAAAAAAATTATTCTTAGAACAATTAATATTATGTAAATAGCACATTTTTGATCAAACGACTACTTTAAAAAAAATAATAAATAATAAATAACAGACCTAACTAAAAAAGGTAAATCAAAGATTCACAGGCATATGACATGAAGTCATTTTCAGTTGACTCTGAGAATTTTTGTTCGTTATTATTATTATAGCCAGAGTTCGTTATCCAGCTAGATGTGTCACGTGACGGTAACATATATAATTTAATTTGGTGGGATTTTCTTCAATAAAGCTTATAAGAATTATTTTATCAATATGAAATTATAAAACATTCTTTTAGAAACAGACTTTATTATCAAATATAAATAAAATGTAGATATAAATATAAATAAAATGTAGATATAAATATAAATAAAATCTTATAATCTTATCAATCTATCAAGAAGATTGATAAATAGATGAATATTTGAACCCAAATCAAACACAACATTATATTCAAATAAAAAATAAACTGTCAATCATTTTATTCTCAAAATAGTGATTTAAGAAACAAATAAATAGAAATAAAAGAAACAAAAGTATAGTTATGAAATATATTGCTACCAAATCATCTGGAAATTGTGGGTATTTATAATACATAATAAAGTATTAAAATTACTAATCACGTGAATTCTTTTTTTACAAAAAGCCTTGGTGTAATATTATTAATTAATAATATGGGGCATGCTGGAACAAAACCAGACAAAGTGAACATTTGTATTACTGAGAATTTCAGGGATCAAAATTTAGTAACGTGATTATTAAAATCTTCCATTTGTTATCCTCTTGATATTATCACGCGACTTCCGCAGTATTTTGGTCTGGTTGGATCGGCATCACGGGACCTCTCTATCGGTCCTCATTTTACTATCTCACAATATATTACCACTATGTAAATTACAATGAATTAAAAATTTTTCATGTATATGATATAATGCAGTACATAACCATCTAAAAATTGCAATTCTATTTTTTATATTTTTTATATATTAATACTGCCTCCAGAAATGTTCAATGCTAATTCAATATCCTCTCTCATTAATGTTACTCGTTTAGCATGGGTTGTACATAAATGTCTGATAATAATGGAGGGAGAGGTTTTTTATTAATGATATTACTAATGAAATCATTATTTTTTACAGATTGAAAATTATCAAATCAACATACCCATTTTCAAACATTTGAACTAGATATGCTTCAGCAGCTAATCAAAAAAAAAAAAATATACAATATAAATTATTAAGGTGTGCAACCTTCTAAGAAAATCAAAACTAATTAATTTTTAATCAACTGATATCAAATACCCCAATAAATTACTATATATAAATTCACAAACTCATATATAGAGGAATTCAATTAAAAAATAAATAAATTTAATTACCTTCCTGAAGTGCTAGGATAGCCGTGGATTCAAATCTAAATCCTACTTGAGAATCTTTTTCAAGTACATTTGTAGCAATCTCTCGAACCTATACATGTATATATTCATAATGGTAAATTAACTTTACATATAGCATTTATATATTCAGCTATTATTAAAAATTTTTTATTAATACAATAACTTTCTGATCACTAACCAATCTAGAAAATGGTAATTTTCTCAGAAGAAGTTTTGTTGATTTTTGATACTGTCTAATTTCCCTTGAAGCTACAGTATCAGGCCTATATCTTATAGGAAAACTTGCTTTTTATTTTGAAATAATGTATAAGATAATAATAAAATATCATTTAATTATTTTTCCAAATACACATCTATACAAATAATTGTATATACACATTTATTAATGTCTATTTTTAATATTTAAAAAATCACCACTTACATCCAGTATTTACAGCAGCTGATTCATTTAAATTATTTCCTGATGTCAAATCTATTATGTTCAATATTCCGTCAAGCTGCATATTATCTTGATTATCATTGTTGTTGTTGTTATCATTGTCCTTTGTAAACACAGCAACACTGTTAGTATTTGTAGGCTCCTCTTCTTCATCCTCAGAAACAACATCCACTATCATCATCATCAACACTCTCAACCTCAACCTCAACCTCAACCTCAACCTCAACCTCATCCTCGACTGATTTTGAATCCTATAATGTTGATACATTATGAAATATTTGACATAAATTTCTAAAAATGCAAAATGAAAATTAATAACTTTAAAAATACCTCTATATTTTTTGTTTTAACATTATATAATTCTAGTTCCAATTGATCTAATTCTTTCGTGATTTTTTCTATGGTATATTGATGCCTTGAGACCACATCATTTAAATAGGATATATTTGTAGGGTTTGTATTCACGGATACCGTAAGGAGGTCACACAGGGTTACACACTATTAAAATCAAGTGTTTTTAAGGGATTTTTTGCTGTTTTATTAGTGTGTAACCCCCTTAACGGTATTCATGGTATTTATGAATACAAACCCTAATCATAGTAAAATTTGTGTTACATATACTCTACCCTTAAACGTAATGAACATGAAGAGCATGAAGAACATGAGGAGGTTGATTTAAGTGACGATTTGGAAATAATTAATGTTAATCAGAATACTAATACTTTTATTCAAACTGATAACATTGAAGTTGACAATGGTGAAAATAGCAGAAGACAGTCTACAAGCATTAGAGGAAATAATAATAGTAATCATTTTCCACCACCACCACTTTTTTCTCCATTAGTGCATAGATACAATTTGCATAATGCTATTGTTAAATTACCTCATGAATTAGAATTATTGTCAAATTTGTCACCTATTTCAAATTTTATGCTTTTTTTTACAAGTGAAATTTTTAATCAACTTGTTGAAAATTCTAATTCATATGCAATTAAAAAGAGTGCTGGAACAGGGAGAGATTGGTATCTATTAAGTGTCCCTGGATTGAAAATTTGGATGGCATTGTTAATATATATGGGTCTTTTTAAATTTCCATCTGTTGATGATTATTGGAATTTGAATGACAGGTCTCCTAAACATAAAATAACCCAATATATGTCACTATACAGATTTGAACAGGTAAAATTACCACAAATGTATGTTTAATTTATTAAAAAAACTTGAAACTAAATTTTTTTTATCAGATTAAAAGATATTTTCATATCTCAAATCCAAATGAGAATACCCAAAATCAATCCACTTGGTTTCCAAAACTTGAGCCTTTGGCCAAACAAGTAAAAAAAATTTCTGAATCTATTTATATACCAGCTTCAAGTGTTTCCATTGATGAAATGATTGCAAGATTTTCAGGAAGAACTGCTGAAACTTTTAGAATAAAAAATAAACCAACTCCTGAAGGATATAAAATTTTATCATTGTGTGATGCTGGCTATACTTTTACTTTTACATTCTTTTCCAGAATCAAAGAAAATCTGAATATTAAAAGAATTCCAGGATTAAGTAAAATTGGTAGTGAAGTTATTCATTTAGTAAAAAAATTGCCAATTAATAAATCCTTTAACATATACATGGATAATTACTTCACAAGCATTAATTTATTCAAATACTTAAGATAGAGGGATTGGTGCATGTGGTACAGTTTGTAAAAATTCAGCCAAATTTCCCAGTATATTAAGACCAAAGGAGAAGATAAACTTAATTTGGAATATGCTTTCTGGTGTTGAAGTTGATGAAGTTTTGGCTCTTTTATGGATAGATAATGGTCCTGTAACAATGCTTACTACAATTCATGAAATTACAGGAAAAAATTCCAAAGTTGCTAAAATTCGTCATTGCCCAAGAATTAATAATGTAAATCAAAGAGCCATAACTGAAGTTTTTGGTGATCAACCAAAAAAACTTATGGATATTCCTGCTGTAATTGATGATTATAATCACAAGATGAATGGAGTTGATATGGCAGATCAATTAAGAAGCTATTATTCAACATAATTAACTGCAAGATGTATTTGGGTCCCTTTATTCTTTTGGTTGCTTGACACAGTTATAATTAATTCTTATTTAATTCATAAACAAAGTAACTTAATAGCCAATGATTTACCTCACAAAGTCTTTAGATCTCAATTATTATGGGAATTGATAGAAGATGCTTTGAAAGAAAAAATAAATTTAGGAATATCAACACAACACAGTCAACAAACCACTCCTAATTCCTCTCCTTCGAGCCAAAAATTACCTCATGTAACAGCTAATTCTCAACCTTCTAAAGATAGATTAATTATAGGCAATCATTTTGCAGAGTGGAGAATGGAAAGACTTTCATGTATGTTATGTAGATACTTGTTTTTAAAAAGTGAGCAAAAAGCTCCAGTATCAAATTTTTGGTGTAAATTATGCGATGTCCTATTATGTTGCAATAGTAACAGGAATTGCTTTAAAAACTATCATGAAAACGAAGATATTTATTTAAATAGAGAGTAATTGTATTTTCTTTATTTGTTAAAAAAAAAAAATAATAAATGTGAAGGAAATTTTTTGTGCACAAAAATTGATAAAGCTTAAAAGTTTACTTACAAAAAAATTATTTGGTAAATTCTAAGTTAAATCTGTGGTCCTGAGGAACAATAATGGCATAAGTTTTATTGGGTTCACTGTACTCTATAAAAAAATTTTATAAGTTGTAAAAATTTCTTTTAATTTTTCCAAAAAAATTCAAAAAGTTCATTATTATTAAAAATATAAATTATTATTATTAAAAATGAAAATAAAATACGTATAACTATTATACATCACATGGATTATATAATGTGAAAAAAATTACGAAATAATATAAAGTTTTCATTGGACTAGATAAAAAGTGATTTTTAACTTTCAATTTACCACATTTACATATTTGTGCTACGGTTTAAGGGATAAGATGCTAAAGATAGAAAGTAGTAGACGAAGCCTTTTATTTTATAAATGTCTTCAATGAGATATAAGAAAGATATGCGAATCATGATAAACAACACTTTTATTGTTTGTTATGCAAAAAATTTTGCATCATGAACCATCATTATTTTTGTTACGCATTATATATATTACTTGGATCATTATTAATAGAGTAACATACAGCATTCATTTTCCATTTTTTTTTTTTTACGAAAAAATACTTACATTACCCAAAAGTTTGTGTGGTCTCCTTCCCTCTATTATTAATTGTCTGGGGTTCTCATGCATGTAAATATATGAACAAATAAATATATTGTTGTGGAATTTATTGAGCTTCTACCTTGGCATCAATTGCTCTTGTAATCAGAATTACATGAGACAACATTCAATGGCGAATCAACCCATTGACTGGCTGGTATAATTTCATGGCTTATTCAAAAAGACCAGTCGAAAATATTTCAAATAGTAATCATTATCATTTGATTGGTGTTATTATTCGCCCCTTTTTAGAGGCTGGAATGGAGCGTTTTATTTAGGGGATAAAATTTTATGAATTAAAAAAATTTATTGTAATCATTTTGTGAATAAATTAACCAATTTTTCATAAATATTTACAAATCAAAAAAAAAACGATATTATTCAATTTTACTCAAAAAATCATTCAATAGTTGGTTTATGATGGATCTTTTGATTTTGATGATTTTATTTCATTTAATAAAAGTTGAATTTGGTCCATGAATATATTTTCAATTTTCTTAAGGTCATTCTTAAGTTCACTTTCAATTTTCTTAAGGTCATTCTTAAGTTCACTTTCAATTTCCTTAAGGTCATCCTTAAGTTCACTTTCAATTTCCTTAAGGTCATTCTTAAGTTCACTTTCAATTTCCTTAAGGTCATCCTTAAGTTCACTTTCAATTTCCTTAAGGTCATTCTTAAGTTCACTTTCAATTTCCTTAAGGTCATTCTTAAGTTCACTTTCAATTTCCTTAAGGTCATTCTTAAGTTCACTTTCAATTTCCTTAAGGTCATTCTTAAGTTCACTTTCAATTTCCTTAAGGTCATTCTTAAGTTCAC